CCCCTCTATAAACATGTACATCCTGGAGCCTACCCATCAACCTTTTATCCTCGAATACATAATCTAACAAACTACTTTCATTACGTGCTACATCATACTTTGTATATTTATTTATCCTCTTTTTCATAAAATATGTATTACTTATTACCAAATCTCTTTCTACACAAAGCTCAATTAAAGGCTCCCCATTTACATTTACCCCTGGCACCCCAAATTTTCCTACTACTACCTCCACAACATTTTTACCCACTTTAGCATTGAAATCCCCAACCACAAGTACTCTCACACTTGGTTTAAAACTCCCCACGCATTCACTCAACATTTCCCAAAATCTCTCTCTCTCTCCTCTACACTTCTTTCTTCTCCAGGTGCACATACACTTACTATAACCCACTTTTCACGTGCAACCTTTATTTTACTCCACATAATCCTTGAATTAATACATTTATAGTCTCTTTTTTCCTGCCATATCTTATCCTTCAACATTATTGCTACTCCTTCTTTAGCTCTAACTCTATTTGAAACACCTGACCTAATCCCATTTATTCCTCTCCACTGATACTCTCTCACCCCCTTCAGCTTTGTTTCACTTAAAGCCAGGACATCCAGCTTCTTCTCATTCATAACATCCACAATCATCTCTTTCTTATCATTTGCACAACATCCATGCACATTCGGACTTCCCACTTTGACAATTTTCTTCTTATTCTTTTTAGTAATCTTTACAGGAAAAGGGGTTACTAGCCCATTGTTCCCGGCATTGTAGTTGACTTTTACAACACGCATTGCTTACGGAGGAAAGATTCTTATTCCACTTCCCCATTGATATAAAAGGAAAAGTAATAAGACCAAGAACTATTAAGATAAAATCAAAGAAAACTCAGATGAGTGTGTATAAATAAACATGTACATGTATGTGTAGTGTGACCTAAGTGTAAGTAAAAGTAGCAAGACATATCTGTAATCTTGCATATTTATTAGACAAACAAAAAAAACAAAACAGCAATCTTACCATCATGTAAAACAATTACAGGCTTTTGTTTTACTTTCACTTGGCAGGACGGTAGTACCTCCCTGGGTGGTTGCTGTCTACCAACCTACTACCTACTACATACTTGTACAAATTTGAACTTCATTGTGCACCCCACAGTACAAGATAGAAGTGCAGTAGCACTTGGAAGAGGATAGAGAGAAAAATGGAAGAAGTACAAAAGAATTTCACAGTAATGGGGTTAGCTGGTGTGTGTGTTTACATTCTCGGTGTCTCTTGTGGCAACTTAATTAAGAAATGATTAAACTCAGTGAACATGGTGTGTCGATGGTGGTGATAATTTTTTTTTTTTTTTTTTAAATACTGTCATCATTCAACACTTTCACCTCACTCATACATAATCAGTCTTTGCAGAGATTTCAGACACAACAGTTTGAAAGTCAACCTCCAAACTGCCAATATCCCAAACCCTTCCTTTAAAGTGCGGGCACTGTACTTACCATTTCCCAGACTTGAGTCTGGCTAACCAGTTTCCCTCAATCCCTTCACAAAATATTACCCTGCTCACACTCCAAGAGCTCATCAGATCCCAAAAACCATGCGTCTTCATTCACTTCTATCTAATACGCTCACATAAGCTTGCTGAAAGTTCAATCCTCTCGCCCACAAAACCTCCTTTACCCCCTCCCTCTAAGCTTTTCGAGGACGACCCCTTCCTTGCTGTCCTTCCCCTACAAATTTATACGCTCTCCAAGTCATTCTACTTTGATCCATTCTCTCTAAATGACCAAACCACCTCAACAACCCCTCTTTAGTCCTCTTGACTAATACTTTTAGTAATATGGTTCAGGATTGCTTTTTAGAACAGGTTGTGACAGAACCAATTAGAGGAAACAATCTGCTTGCCTTCGTTCTTGCCAACAAAGATTCACTAATTAATAATCTTGAGGTTAATGATGAGCTTGAGGAAAGTGATCACAAATCACTTAGATTCAATATATCATGGAATTACCCAGATAACTGCAATCAAATCTCTGTCCCAGATTTTCACTTGGCCAACTTCATGGGACTGAAAAATTACCTGGGTGGGCTAAATTGGGATGTCCTGGCTATGGGTCAGGTAGGTTATCTTGGTTGCCAATATGACTTTTTCAGAGCATAGTTCTAGCTGCCTAGACAACTTTTGTTCCAAGTAGGGAAATTAGATCTAACAAAAATGATCCCAAATGGATGAACAATAGATTAAAACATCTCATTGGTTAAAAGAGAGGCATATATAGGCATATCAAAAGAGGGGATGGGGAGTTAAGAAATCAATATATTCAAATAAAGAGAGAAATAAAGAAAGGAATAAGAAAAGCAAAAAGGGATTATGAGGCTAAGGTCACAAGGGATTCAAAGACTAACCCAAAAGGGTTCTTTCAGGTATACAGAAGTAAGATTAGGGACAAGATTGGCCCACTTAAGAGTAACTCTGGTCAGATCACTGACAGTGATAAGGATATGTGTGAAATTCTGAATACCTCCTTCCTCTCAGTTTTCACCCAGGAAAATACTAGCGATATTCCTGAAATAATAGATTATCTAGAACAGGATAATAAACTATGTACTATTGTGGTAACTAGTGACATGGTCCTCAGACAAACAGAGAAACTAAAACCTAACAAATCCCCAGGCCCTGATGAACTGTTTGCAAGGGTGTTAAAGGAATGTAAAGAGGAACTTAGCATACCTTTGGCTAATCTTTTTAACATATCACTGCAAGCTAGCATAGTGCCTGATAAGTGGAAAATGGCAAATGTAATACCTATTTACAAGGCAGGCGACAGGTCCTTGGCTTCGAACTATAGACCAATAAGCCTTACCTCCATAGTGGGAAAATTTATGGAATCAATAATTGCCGAAGCAATTCGTAGCCATCTTGATAGGCACAGATTGATTAATGAACCTCAACACGGTTTTACAAAGGGGCATTCCTGTCTTAAGAATTTACTAACTTTTTTCACTACGGTGTTTGAGGAGGTAGATCATGGTAATGAATATGATATTGTGTATATGGACTTTCGATAAAGTTCCACACCAGAGGCTATTGAGGAAACTTAAGGCACATGGAATAGGAGGAGAAATTTTTTCCTGGGTAGAGGCATGGCTGACAAATAGGCAGCAGAGAGTTTGCATAAATGGGGAGAAATCAGAATGGGGGCACATCACAAGCGGTGTTCCTCAGGGGTCAGTGTTGGGCCCATTGTTGTTCACAATTTACATTAACGACATAGAAGAGGGAATAAATAGCGACGTAAGCAAATTTGCTGATGACACCGAAATAGGCCGTCTAATTAATTCTAATGAGGACACTAGAGCACTCCAGGATGATTTGAATAGACTGATGCAGTGGTCGGAGAAGTGGCAGATGCAGTTTAATATTGACAAATGCAAAGTTCTAAATGTTGGACAGTTAAATAGAGCACTCGAGGATGATTTGAAAAGACTGATGCAATGGTCGGAGAAGTGGCAGATGCAGTTTAATATTGACAAATGCAAAGTTCTAAATGTTGGACAGTTAAATAACCATGCCAAATATAAACTAAATAATGTAGATCTTAATACTACTGATTGCGAAAAAGATTTAGGAGTTCTGGTTAGTAATCTAAAACCAAGACAACAGTGCATTAGTGTTCGCAATAAAGCTAACAGAATTCTTGGCTTCATATCTAGAAGTATAAATAACAGAAGTCCTCAGGTTGTTCTTCAACTCTATATATCCTTGGTTAGACCTCATTTAGACTATGCTGCTCAGTTCTGGTCACCGTATTACAGAATGGATATAAATGCTCTGGAAAACGTACAGAGGAGGATGACAAAGATGATCCCATGTATCAGAAATCTACCCTATGAAGATAGACTGAGGGCCCTGAATCCGCACTCTCTCGAAGGGCGTAGACTTAGGGGGGATATGATCAAGGTGTATAAATGGAAAACAAGAATAAATAAAGGGGATGTAAACAGCGTGCTGAAAATTTCCAGCCAAGACAGGACTCGCAGCAGTGGTTTCAAGTTGGAAAAATTCAGATTCAGGAAGGATATAGGAAAGCACTGGTTTGGTAATAGAGTCGTGGATGAGTGGAACAAACTCCCGAGTACAGTTATTCAGGCTAAAACGTTGTGTAGTTTTAAAAATGGTTAGATAATTACATGAGTGGGTGTGGGTGGGGGTGAGTTGGACCTGACTAGCTTGTGCTGCTGGGTATGGTGCCGTGCTCCATCTTGGAGTGGAGGTGACCGGACTGGGTGGGCCATTGGGCTAATCCGGGGAAGGGGACATGGACTGCTCTGCATGGGTCAGTAGGCCTGTTGCAGTGTTCCTTTTTCTTATGTTGCCTTCAAGTGAGCATCCAGTGCCAACTTCGCGGTCTTATGTCTCGCTAAGTACGTACTGTCCAAAATTTTTTTTTTTTTTTTTACATTACAGTGGACCCACGGTTATCAGCAGTAATCTGTTCCAGGTCAGCCTAAAACCGAAATGGCCAAAAACCAAAATAATATTTCCCATAAGAATTAATGTAATTACAATTAATCCATTCCAGACACCCAAAAATATTAACCAAAAAAAAAAAAAATTTTTAGAGTTTAATTGTAGTTTTACATACACAAAACAATGAGAACTGAATAAAATAAATAAATGAACATTTAAGTCACTATTACATACCTTTATTGAAGACTCTTGTTGGCTTATGGAAGACAAGGATTAGGAGTGCAAGAGGACTGATTATTGTTTGTAAGGGGAATCTTCCACTATAATGATTTCAGGTATCAAAGCCCTCTCTGGGGTTACTTCCCTTCTATGTCTTTTACTGCCACTAGGACCAGCTTGAGAGTCACTGTACACCTGTCACACAAGAAAACTGTCCAGAGAGGTCTGTTTCTGGTGTCTCTTTAACTCTTTCACTGTTTCGGTCGTATATATACGTCTTACGAGCCAGTTTGTTTGTGCTACATTTTTTTGTGACAGCGGTACAGTAACTCGCAAGCTTGTCCTGGTGCCAGTAAAAGACAAAGAAAGGAAGTAACCATGGATAAGGACTTGAAACCTTAACCGTTTGACTGTCGAGGTCGTATATAACAGTCTTACGAGGTACCATGTTTGACGTATATACAGTAGACCCCCGCATAACGATATTAATCCGTTCCTGAGAGCTCATTGTTATGCGAAATTATCGTTATGCGAATGATTTTCCCCATAAGAAATAATGGAAATCAAATTAATCCGTGCAAGACACCCAAAAGTGTGAAAAAAAAAATTTTACCACATGAAATATACATTTTCCTACACACAAAGAGAAGGATGCATGCACAATAGTAGAGTAGTACATGCACAATATATATTGTGCATGTACTACTCTACTTAATGAAGAATAAATGACACCTTTATTGAAGATGCAGCAATGACTGATGAGACACTGTGTCCTGGGAGTGCCTTTTCCTCATGAGTACTGTAGGTCCTGTTTGGCATTTTCTTCCAGAACATGCCTTATCACACTGTGTATGCCACTACGATTCTTAACCCTTTCAGGGTCCAAGGCCAAAATCTGAAGTGGTGCTCCAGTGTCCAAGAAATTTTGAAAAAAAAAAAAAAATATTTTTTCTTACAGAATTAAAGAGTATATTTTTGTGAAGGTAATAAGACAAAAAAAAAATCTGATCAGTACTTACCGAGATACAGTGCCAAGAAGTTTGTCAAAAATGATGTGGTGGCGGCAACATCGACGAATTTCACATTCGCGCATTACATTATTTTGTGGTTTTAGTTGTTTTTTCTTTTCTTTTCCTATTTTTTTCTATTCCTACTAACATTTGGGGCCTGAGAGACCAATACTGTATATAATGTATATATATAAACTCACTGTATTGAACACAATAACCGCACTAAAGTTATCATATTATTGTTTACCACTGTTGTTTATTACAATAAACATGCACAAATATTGTATAATACTAATGTTCTATCATATATTTACATATTTACAATCACTGGACATGGTTTTAGAACTGCTGGAGCTTTTGGAACTCCTTGAAACAAGGCACCATGCACAGAGGCACCTTACATTCCTCACACATAAACCGAGTATCTTTGCGTCTTTGTTGCCGTCGTTTTGTTTGTGCACAGACAATGCATCTCTTCTGAGCAAATTTCTTCTGAGTTGAAGGAAGCTGTATTATGAAATGATCACCTTCTCTCCTCAAACGCTTGGGTATATCCTGAGGAATTCGAGGACCATGTTGTATAGCAGGTGTTGTTACCTGGTACTTCATTATGAGTTGTCTGACAACAGACAAACAAAATTCACCATACGGTGGTCTGTTGCCAGTCTTTATTTGGTACATATTATATGCATTGAGCATTGAAATGTCCATGAGATAGAAGAAAAGTTTCATGTACCACTTGTAACTCTTACGAACACAGTCAACAAAACCAATCTGCATGTCACACTTGTCAACCAAGCGCATGTTTTGTGTATAATCAATCACTGACACTGGTTTTCGAATACGTTCATTAGTCACTCGATCAACTTTGCCACTGTCTTGCATTTCATTACGGTGAATGGTTGTCAACAATGTGACATCTCGTTTGTCATGCCACCATAATGCCATGATGTCATTGGCAGTAAACTCCTGCACATCATCACCACGAGCACCTGCGTTGAGCCTGGGCATATGTTTATGATTAGAACGCACTGTGCCACACACATCTGTCTTGTTCACTCGCATGAAATCACTGAGTAATGGGCTTGTGTACCAGTTATCGGTATCAAATGTACGCCCCTTTCCAAGATAAGGTGCCATCATGTTTCTCACTACGTCACCTGAGATACCCAATAACATCTTGGTATCTTTCAATGTTTTACTACCCGTGTATACAACAATATCCAACACCAGGCCACTGTCACAATCACAGAGTACAAACAGTTTTATACCAAAGCATTTCCTCTTGCTCGGTATATACTGCTTGAATGACAGTCTACCTTTGAACAAAATCAAAGACTCGTCAATTACAAGATTCTTGAATGGATGAAAGTATATCCTGAACTTTTGTTTGAGATACATGAAAACATTTCTTATCTTGTATAACCTGTCACTTCTGTCAGGCCTGGTTTTGTCAGACAAGTGCAACATACGTAACAGTAAGATAAACCTGTTCACTGGTATGATTTCACTGAAGACCGGGGTAGAAATTAGCCGATCTGTGGACCAGTATGCTTTTATATTATGCTTATAGACATGAGGCATAAGCATTATTGTTGCAAAAAGCAAAAACATTTCTGCAACAGTCGTCTCTTTCCACCTGTGTAGTCTTGACTGTGGTGATAAGATCGTATTTGCCATGGTGTACTCAAAATACTTATTACTTTCCCTGGCAATAATTTCCATCAATGGCTGGTCAAAGAATAATTCAAAGAATTCCAGTTCATTGGCCGTGGTTCCAAGGGGACAACTAGGTAGAATTCCACTTTGAGATTCATCAAAGTGGTGAGGCTTGGGAACAAAATTGGGATTTTGCTGCCAATCCCACATACGGTTTGCTGATGGATACTGGACATCATAGGCTGGTTGTACGGGTGGTTGTGGCTGTGGCGGGCTGGTGGCTGACGCTCCGCTTTGTCCTTGAACTGACAAGTCAGCAGCGTGGGTCCCAGCGTGACCTGGTGAGTCATGCATGGCGGTGCCACTACCATCACCACTAACACCATCCACTGATGCCTGTGGTCTATCCATGCCAAGTGTAGCCACATCATCCTCACTATCACTATCTAAAACTGGTGTAGGGCCACGGGATGTACTCCGGGATGTACTCCGGGATGTACTCCTGGATGTACTCCGTCCCCTGGGCACAGCATAGGGTACACTACCCGAGCGCATGCGGCGGCGAACATACCGACGCTTCACTGGTGAATATGATTCCTCACTATCACTACTCGAATGATCGTTGAGCGCAATAAAATCACAATCCACGTCACTATCATCGTCATTACTGAAGTCAGAGGCCTGGCCACGCGAAAATATTAGTTTTCTCTTGCGTTATGGAACAACCGACCGTGAGTCACGAGTACCCACACCAGAGGTAGAAGGTTGAGGATCGTCAGGGTTTTCTGCACTATTATCGATATCCTGGTCATTCTTTTTGGTTACTAACTGATCAAAGCCGTAGAATTCGTCTTCATTTCCACTTCCATCAGTGTCAGAACTATCAGATAGGAAGAGGAGAGTCCCAATTTTCCAGGGAGTGAGAGCTGACTTGTGACGAGGCATGGTGAACGAGGGTGACTGAGCCGGCGTTCCCACAATGCTATGCAGGCGCCTAGATTTTTTGTTTATGGCACACACCCACCGCGCAGACCCATTCTCTCACATGTAGGCCTATGAGCGCTTTCACGCTAAATTTGATGGCGCTAGAATTTTGGCGTAGATCTATGGTTTGGACACTCAACGTAAAGCCGTAGATCTATGGGACGGACCCTGAAAGGGTTAAATCTCTCAAACCAACCTTTGCTGGTTTTAAATTCACCAATATGAGCACTAGTTCCAGGCGTTTTTCCCTGTTCACCTGGGTGTTAGTCAACTGGTGTGGGTTGCATCCTGGGAGACAAGATTAAGGACCCCAATGGAAATAAGTTAGACAGTCTTCGATGACACTGACCTTTTTGGGTTATCCTGGGTGGCTAACCCTCTGGGGTTAATTGTTTCTTGGTATTCTCAATAAGCCACACCAACAACGGTGCTACAGCAGCAGCAGCAGCTGACAGTGCTACAGCAGCAGCAGCAGCTGACAGTGCTACAGCAGCAGCAGCAGCTGACAGTGCTACAGCAGCAGCAGCAACTGACAGTGCTACAGCAGCAGCAGCTGACAGTGCTACAGCAGCAGCAGCAGCTGACAGTGCTGCAGCAGCAGCAGCTGACAGTGCTACAGCAGCAGCTGACAGTGCTACAGCAGCAGCTGACAGTGCTACAGCAGCAGCAGACGGTACTACAGCAGCAGCAGCTGACGGTTCAGCAGCAACAGCAGCTGACGGTGCTAAATCAGCAGCAGCAGCAGCAGCTGACAGCGCTACAGCAGCAGCAGCTGTCAGTGCAGCAGCAGCTGACAGTGCAGCAGCAGCAGCAGCAGCAGCAGCAGCAGCAGGTGACAGTGCTACAGCAGCAGCAGATGATGCTACAGCAGCAACAGACGGTACTACAGCAGCAGCAGCAGCAGCAGCAGCAGATGGTTCTACAGCAGCAGCAGCTGATGGTGGTACAGCAGCAGCAACAGCTGACAGTGCTACAGCAGCAGCAGCAGCTGACAGTGCTACAGCAGCAGCAGCAGCTGACAGTGCAGCAGCAGCAGCAGCAGCAGCAGCAGCTGACAGTGCAGCAGCAGCAGCTAACAGTGCTACAGCAGCAGCAGACGATGCTACAGCAGCAGCAGACGATGCTACAGCAGCAGCAGACGGTACTACAGCAGCAGCAGCAGCTGACGGTACAGCAACAGCAGCAGCAGCAGCTGACGTACAGCAACAGCAGCAGCAGCAGCTGACAGTGGTGCAGCAGCAGCAGCAGCTGACAGTGCTACAGCAGCAGCAGCAGCTGACAGTGCTACAGCAGCAGCAGCATCAGCAGTTGACCATGGTACCACAGTATTTCGATAATATTTCTCACCCTTTTTACCACAGGGTTGGCACTAGAAGCTTTCTTGGGGCCCATGGTCACTTATTTTGCAGATAAAATCACCGAAAACGCTGTAATAATACGAAATGTTACGATTGTATGCTTGGATGTTACCACGGAGGCTGGCTTGTAAACAATGCCACCGGCGGAACGTGAGGCTGGCTCAGGCCGCACATTAGACGCGTCTCGGACGAATAGTGTTGAGCGGGTTTTTTAGCGGTATGCGAGGCAAAATCTTAGCGATAAAATATATCGGTATGCGGATTTAATGTTATGTGATGCCAACGGTATGCGGGGGTCCACTGTATACTCATAAATTCTAGCGGCTTGAAATCAAGCAGGAGAAAGCTGGTAGGCCCACATGTGAGAGAATGGGTCTGTGTGGTCAGTGTG